TTTTCCTCCAATTGGAGGAAAATGAGTTCATAAGGAAAATGTTTTCCAAAACATTTAAGCCAATCAAACAGGGAAAAATTGGAAAATATTTTCCGAAAAATGTTTTCCTTCATACCAAACACGCCCTTCATTCGTTCAATTTTACTTGTCTACTATACTAAAAATATATTATCACTTTTACTTGTTTATTTTAGCAAATTAAGAAAAAAAAACTTTTCCCTCCTACTTTATCCTTATTATTAACTATTCACTCCCCGAATTATTTTTCAAAACTTTTTAAAATGCTATTATTAGTATAAGTTAAATTGTAATATTCATACTTTATATTTTTTAAAGGTAGTGCAAAATTAAAAATTGATAACTAAAAATGAACGGAGGAAAGAGCTAATAAGGTAACCAAGTTAGGCATGCTTTCACAATAGAGCTGGCATAGGACCATAACTGCTTGTTTGGATGGTTGTTACGTATCGTTTCATAATGTATCGTATCGTTCGATAAATATAATATTTGGATAGATTGTATCGTTCGTCATCGTTTCATGATACCACGCACCATCAATATGAAGAATAAACTTGCAATATTATAAAAAAAAAACTATGATACATGATAAAATTAATATATAACAAGGTATGGTAAATAATAAAATAAAATTATTTAATAATAATGAAGGGCGAGATTGAGAGAAAAAGACAGGGTAACGACGCGACCATATCAAATTGATCGTTACATAAAATGGCACATTTCATCGTTACGTAACGACAGATTTAACGATACGATACAATAAAATTTAAGTAACAATCAAAACAAACATCGTATTTAACATAACAATACGATATAATACAATAGGTAACAATCATCCAAACAANAAATTAACCTTTTTTTTCCTGGTTGCTGTCTTTAAAATATATTTTATCCAACTGAGTAACAAAATGAAATAAGTCATCCGAAATTCCTATCGGAAATAAAGGTCACCACATAAATTTTTTTTTTACTTTGCATGCTACCAAGAAACTTTAGTTTTAGAAAAATCTAATGTAAAGTAGTATGGTAAAAAATTTGGGAAGACTATTCCACAAAGAAAAGAAAGGAAAAAGAGGCAAAAATCGACAAGTCAATTTCCTTGACGGAATAAGGGAAAAACAACAACAAAATAGTCCCGTTCATAAGTTCACACTTCACACACGTCCTTCCCCAAAATTTTCTCTGGAAAAATTGCTGAAAAGAGAAAGGAAAGTAAAAGAAAAGGAAAAAACAAAAGAAAAACAAGAAAGAAGGTCACCACTCAGAGAAATGTCAAAAGTGCTCTTCACATCTTTTTCTTGAAAGGCCACCGACAGAAATAGGCCCATAAAAATTGTCTTTGGAACTGGGTTTTGCCCAGATTTCAGTTATTTTTTAAGAAAAAGAATTTTCTTACTTCTTTTTGGGTTGATTTTATTATGGAGGCAAGTTCAGGTGATCAAGGTGTTCAAAGTAATTTCAAAGGAATTCCAACTCATGGGGGTCGTTATGTGCAGTATAATGTGTATGGTAATCTTTTTGAAGTTTCCAAAAAGTATGTTCCCCTTAGGCCTGTTGGTCGTGGAGCTTATGGCATCGTTTGGTATGAATAATACTACTACTATCCCTTTTTGAACTTCAAGTTTTTTTTCTTTGGATTAATTCTTCTTTTGTTTTTTTTAATAGTTTAGGTTGTAGTCTATGAGGAGGAACTAAGCTTGACCTATAGTGAACATTGACCTATACAAGTTATCTGTCAAAAGTCTTGTTAATTGATATGCGTGCATGTTGGCCCTGGTGACCATTGTGATTAAAAGGAAGATTGTGTGTTTCTGGGTATCTTTTGGTTTCAAATTTCTTTGATTTGGTCGAATGTGGAAGTTTGTGAACTATCAAGAAAAATTAAAGTGCCTTTGATAAGTTTCTTAGGTTGTGTTTAGTGCTTAGTTATGTGTTTTTTCTTGAGAAAACATAACCAAAAACTATCAGTGCAATTCTTATAGGTCCATCCTAACTGAATAGTTGTGGCACTGTTAAATACTTAAATCTGATATCTAGTCAACTGCTGTAGCTTCTTTAGGTCTAAAGTTTAATTTCAGGAAACTAGGAATACAACGTTTACTACTGCATGACTCAAGTATTTGCACAAGTTTATGGAACAAGCAGTTGCATTTCATTATGCTATCAGTGACCTCTCTAATCAGTCCACTTACTTTGGTGCACATTTAGCTCATAACTAGGCTACTGCTGTAGTTATGAATTACGAGAACTAGTGTGTGAAACTTGGCAGTTATTAGCCAGCTAAGTATCTTGTGAAATTGCTAGTCAGATATTTGAAAACCTAACTAGGTAAATTAGTTACCTGAGTGAACAAAAAGATACGTGATTAGAGATGGTCAAATTGCCGATCCTCCTTACATATTGAACAAAAAGAAGGTCAGAGGTCTCATATTGACTTGTACTAGGCTAGAAGTTTTGGAAGAATAAAATTTTTAAAGGTGTTAATGCAAGAATTGGCTTGAACCTGAAGTAAAATGGAAATGACCTCCTTGATGTGAAGAAAAGTTTCACCACCTGTAATTTGGTCTTAGGACGATGGGCACTTGGCTTGGAAAGTTACTAAGTTTGTGTTAAGAAGAGTGGCGGAGCAGAGATATTCTGACTCCTGATGAAGTTTTCTTATGTTGGTATTTCCTGATACAAAGAAGCCACTAGGTGTCCTATAATGAGTCGGGGGGCTTAAACTTAGAGCTTTTTGCTGCTGAAGATTGGCAAGTATGTTTTTCCCTATGCTGTTTCTTCCTTATTGTCATATAGGGAACTGGCTTTCATGTAACTAATTTTTTTACTTTCACTCTTAGTTTCATTATGTCACAACTATATCTAATTGACGCTCTTTAGATCATTCTGTAATATTCTTGAGAAAAAATTATCACATAATCTGCTAAAATTTTTGTTGTCCAACTAGTAGTAGTTTCCCTCCATGATCACTTTACTCTTAAATATCTATCTTGTGTTCGTAAGTGGAGTCTCGGCAAGAGAAAATAGAAGTTTTTGCCTTTTGCTTTTCCGAGGATCTTATATGTTGTCCTTGTCCTCTATTTAACTTATTTCCTCTGTTTATTTACTATGTGAAGGAAAAATGTGATTTTTTATTTTCCTTCAGTGCTGCTATGAACTTGGAAACACGTGAAGAAGTAGCTATTAAGAAGATTGGCAATGCATTTGATAATAGAATTGATGCGAAAAGGACACTACGAGAGATAAAGCTTCTTCGTCACATGGATCATGACAACGTGAGTATTGACATTGCTTCACAAATTCAAAGATTGACCCCACTCCTCAGATTGATCCTTTACTTTGTCATGTTAGCTTGCGCATTTACTTGCATGAAAACTGACTTATTTGTTATTGTGCTGGTCTTATTCTGTTTGCTGTTCAGTATCGCAACATATAACTTAGTAGTCTTCTTGTCATTGCAGTTTATAGTTTGCTGTTCCCCTAGCCATTTGTAAGGATCAATCCTTGTATATTTCTTTTTGTTTTCTTTGCTCCTTGGTTGTTACTGGTCATAATGAGCTGTTGTTTCCCCTTCCTTTCTATTTCTTGGGGGGAGGGTGGGTAGGTGGAATGGTTGTGAACTGTATCACAAATTACTAGAGTTGGCAGAAAACAGGGTTATGAACCAGAGATGGTTGATCTGAGAGAGATTTGAGGCGTCCAGAGCTACCATCTTTGCTTTGCTGAAATAATTATGTATACCACTTATTACCAAAAGGTGATAGACACCACTCACCAGTAAGAATTGGTAATGATAGTAGTTGTATTCACCTTTTAGATTTGTTTGAACTTTTAGATACCTTGCCTGTATAATTTGGAGAAAAGAAATTGATAGAAGAAGGAACTCCATGGAAATCAGGTTTTTAATGGCAGAGCTTTTCTTGATGGGTAGAAATTGAAGAGGGAAGCTTTTCTCTTGAGTTCTGGCAATGTAGGCGATAAAATTGAAGCCTGATTTCTCTGGAAAAAAAAGTGAAGCATGCTGGATCCTATATCTATCTCCTCCTGCCTTCAGTTGAAGCCGAGAGGTAAAGGAAGGGAAGATGTCTCGAGGGTCGTTACTTTTTATAGATAGTTAGCTGTAAAAAGAATAGTAGAAATTCCTTAGAGTACAGTTTTAGGTAAATAATGCTTTCAGAATTCCTTAGTAATGGTTAACCCTTTGCCAAGAGTTCCTGGTGTAAACTGTCTTTTGATTTTTATGTAAACTCTATTACTGATTTCATACACTCCCTGCAAGCTTAAAGAGAGGGAGGATGAATTTTTGGCTGTACATATTTGCTCCTTCTTGGTGCAGTTTAAATGAAATTTCTCACCTTATATTAAAAAACCTCATGACTAAGAGTAAGGTGATCTGTTGACTCCTATGCATAGAATCTGCTGTTAAGAAATTGGAAGCATGTGCATTAATGGTAATTTTTTTTTGATAAGGTAAGGTATGTGCATTTAGGGCAACTAATGCCCCTTACTGTTAAGATGGTCAAATTGCCGATCCTGCTTACATATTTTCTTTCAAGGATAGTTTCTTTCATAAATTCTTTTCTTCGTTTACTTTCCAGTGCATTTGTCTTATCTCTTATGTTAGATATTTTCCTATCTTCTTCAAGAGAATTTTATTTATGGAGTTATTCTTGTATTGCTGGTATTCATATTCTTTTCTTTTCTTCAGAATAATGATTCGACGTATCAGTTTTTTCAGAATGATAACATTTTACCTTTTATAATTACCATAGGTGATTGCCATTAAAGATATTATAAGGCCTCCACAAACTGAGAATTTCAATGATGTCTACATTGTTTCTGAATTGATGGACACTGATCTTCATCAGATAATTCGTTCCAACCAACAGTTGACTGATGATCACTGTCGGGTAAGCTAGACTTTCTTATGGTTTACTGATAACTCCATTTTATGTCATTTAATTAAAATTTAAAGCAAAGGGACACCTGGTCAAGTATGATGTTCAAGTAAAAATGAGAAACCATTACTCAACCAATCAACAAGGAATAGGTGACCCGTCTATAATTTCCTTTAACATAATGAATTCCCATGTAGCTGGTATAATTGGTTTCTGGATTGTTTTGTATCAAAGACTTGAACATAAAGTGATCTTTGGGTTACAAAGATGGTACTATTTGGCCTTGCTTTTGCTGTTTCTTATATCCACTACATTTAATAATCACTCCTGCTGACTTGGTATTTTAAAATTGTTTATTTTTTTTGTAATTCAACCCCCCCCCCCCNGACTTATCACAGAGGTAAATATGCATTATGTGTGCTTGTCTACCTTCAATGCCTATCCTGACAGATTCCATAAGTTTAAAACAGCAATGATGAATAATAACTGCTCTCTATAATGCTTTAACATGATCTGTGGCCTATCCAAGTGTATTTTGCTTCGAAATTTCTTCAGCTACCTGTTTATTTAGTTGTTAATTACTTAATTTGCACAAAAAGAGGTTCACTTTTGGTAATTTAGTCAGTTCAATCCTGATATGGTCCCTTTACTTGTTTAAAATAGCTCATAGGATCACCTGATGATGCCAGTCTTGGATTTCTCCGGAGTGATAATGCTCGGAGATATGTTAGACAGCTCCCCCAGTATCCAAGACAACAATTTGCTGCTAGATTCCCCAATTCATCTCCTGGAGCTGTTGATTTGCTTGAAAAAATGCTTGTCTTTGATCCAAGCAGGCGTGTTACAGGTAAAGATAATTCATTAGAACTTTCTTTGAGACAATTCTAACTCATAATTCTATATTTAGAAACAAAGTTTTATGCTGAAACTGATTTTGCCATTGCTAATCCTCTTTATGATCTTTTGCAGTTGATCAAGCGCTCTGCCACCCCTACTTGGCGCCTCTTCATGATATCAATGAGGAGCCCATTTGTCCTAAACCTTTCAGTTTTGACTTTGAGCAGCCATCTTTCACTGAAGAAAATATCAAGGAACTCATCTGGAGGGAATCCGTGAAATTTAATCCAGATCCAACTCACTGAGAGACACGCTGTTTTACAATTTATGCAGTTAAGAGTTCGGTGACATAACTTTGTAGAATACTGTATCAAACTTTGTAATGTTCCCCAGTAAAAATATAACAAATGCAGTGGAGGTGAGGTGAGTTCACGGCTCTGATATTAGCTTATGTTAGATTTGTTCTATTAATCTTTCAAGGTGATCAATGCTGTACAAAGGAGCTAAAACCAAACTTGAATGGCAGTCCATGATCAGAACATTTCCAAGTACCAATTCCATCTTGACACCAGATTCTTCTCTGAGTGGTAGGACTAGGAAATCCTGAGTGATTACAGCTTGTTATCCTGAAAATTTGACCTATTGCTTTCAAGTAGTTTGACGGTAGATGTATGTATTTTTTAGTTTGGATGCCCTGTGTGATTGTAGATCTGTATGCCTATAAACAAGCACCTAGTTTTCTTGATTGGCTAATTGTTCTTTCTCAGCTAAAGTGAGAATTTGCTATCTGGCATGTGTCGATAACAATTCCTGCTTGGTGCCATGTGCTTATGGTTTGTGTCTATTAGATGTGTTTATCATGTTGAAGGGTGGAACCATTATTTGTAGCATAAAATTGAGTGGGAATTCTATAAGTAGCCATGAAAAGAACTGATAGTTCGCTAAAATTATAAAACTGGTACATGAAAGGACAGCTATCAGTAATTCAATCTATAAGAACATCTTCGCATCTCTATGTTATCTATGGGTAAATTTTCTGTAGGAAAATCACACATCCTACTCTTTTTTGGACCCTGATAAGCCAGCAACTGACAAGGTGGAGGTTGCACATTGCTGCTAATTCCTTCAATATTAGTGCAAGTCCATGGATATTTCTTGGCCTTCTTTGCTAAACCAATTGTCACATTGGACATGCAGATTCCAGTGAAAGGATCCCCGGACATCCCCTCCAGCTGGGCGGCCATTGACACGTTCTCAGCCACCACATCCCGGTAATTGATCCCTTTTATCTCTGGTAAGGCTTTAGGATCCCAATGAGTGTCAGCGTGTGAACCATAGTTGCCTGTCATCCAAAATACCCATTTCATGGTGTGCAGTTTCATCCCCTTGACATATACATCTTTGACGAAGCCGCCTCGTCCCACGGCTGTCTTTATCCTTACCCCTGATTCTGTGTTGATGGCTGTAATGTCTTGAACTCTCACATCTTGAATTCCACCTGACATTTCACTTCCTAATGCTATTGCTGCACTGTAAGGTGAAATGCAAGTGAGACGTCTGATGATCAGATGACTTGTTGGCATTCCATATTTTATACCATATTCATCCCAGCCACTTTTGACTGCTACACAGTCATCTCCGGATACAATGTAGTTGTCCTCTAGTCTTGTATTTGTGCAAGAATCTGAAAATTTGGAGAATAAGAAAAGTTGACTAAATGAATCAGCTTCATTGGCTTCTTTTATTAAAATGCTTTTAGAAAAAAAGAAAAGAAAAAAAAAACCTGGGTCGATTCCATCAGTGTTTGGGGATGTTACAGGTGCTAAAATAGTGAGTCCTTGGATAATGATATTGCTGGAATTTCAGAAGTATGAAGATTATGAAAAACTTGAGAAAAAAGTAAACAATCAACATGTTGAATAATGTAGATTTGGCTGATTTACCACCTGCTATAAACGGGATGGATATTCCAAGAAGGAGAGTTGACAAGGGTTAAATTTGATATCTGAATTTTATTAGAATGCATGAGTTCAATCAAGTAAGGTCTTGTGTATTTTAGCTTTTTCCTGTGAAATTGTTGCCACCAGAGAGCACCCTGCCCATCTATTGTCCCATTCTCACCTAATCATGCAGAAAAGACAAGTATCTTTTTTAATGTTAAAAGATAGAACATAAATTTATCATCTTCAAGGTGGATATAGTATGACTTTAGTTACCTGTGATGATGACATCTGTGAGGTTTGTACCAAAAATGAGACTGATATACCTGCCTCCTGGTGCATCCCTTCCATGACCATAGGATGGTAAGGGGTCTATCAGGGGCCACTGGTTTATTTCCTGAACCAATTCAATGGCACTCTTATTAAAAGCAAGAATAACAGGGAAGTTGCTTTGACTACAGAATCATGACTGTTAGGAATGAGAACTTTGAGTTGTCAAGACTTTTTTGACTAGGCTTGGCCCGGCGGCCCTATCGACTGGCGCTTCAAAGGGTGAAACACTCAGTCGTGGTTTGTCGACATATCTTCAATATGTGCCTTTAGTTTTTTGGTTAGAGTAGGGATGGCGCGAGAGCATAGTGTACTGCCCTGAGACTCTTTAATATTTACTTTTTCTTTTTCACAACAAGGTTTCTTGTCTAGTTGAGAACTTTGAAATTCCAATGCAAGAAAATAGATCAAGACTGACATACATATTGTATCATATCTTCTACTCTATTTTATGAAACTCTAGGAAAGATTAGAAAAAGAAAGTGAAGTAGAATTGAAAATATTAGTAGTACCTGAGATGCAAGAAGAACAGCATCCTTGTGAAGAAAAAGAGTGAAATGGCTAGTAAGATTGAAACTACCAGTGAGCCACTGACCAGCAGGGATAACTAGCTGAGCTCCACCATCTGATGCATATTGGCTCAGTTGATTCACTGCTTTCTGAAATGCCTTTGTGTTGAGTGTTTTTCCATCTCCTACTCCTCCAAAATCTTTTATAGATGCACTGTGCTTTCTGCAGTTTATTGCTGAGTATGCTAACTCATAGGAGGACCCTTCAAGAATTCTTGTCTTTCTTCCCTCTGCTCTTTCTATACTTGAAAACACCAGTCCCATAAGGACTAATAGCAACCAATCTGTCTTCACCATCTGCAAGAATATTATAAAACAAGATATGATTTCAATTCCCAACAGAGACAAAAATGCCAAAGCCTTGGTGGACTATGTTAGTTGGTACTTGTAATGATGAGAATTAGCAGGTATTCGGGTTATTAATAAAATAAAAGATATAGCAAGATATGCTTTTTCACATTTTTAGGAAAACCCATAATAGTGAACACAAAAAAGAGAGCAGCCTAGTGCATAAAGCATCTTGCATTCACGCAAGGTACGAGGAAAGACCACACCTCTAGGGTTGTGATATTGACAACCTATTGCTTTTAGGGCTGGAACCTATGACCTATAGGTCACATCGAAACAACTTTGTTGTTGCTTCAAGGTTTCCCTTCATAACAGTAAGCACAATTTACGAAAAACGTATAACTTAAGAAGCAATTATAATGGCATGTTTCTAGAAGTGATGAACATTTTGAAGGTGAAGAATTGCTTTTTAGAGCCAGCATTTGGAGTAAAAGGAGGTAAAATGAATTACAATCTGCACTTTACCATGGAAGAAAGGAGTGAAGTAAATGTTTTGGTAGTTCACTTGAGCTCTACACAACCTCTATATACTTAGCTTGAATATGGTGTATGGAGTTGGTTTGTTGTTTAGTTACAAATATAAACAAGTGGTATATATAGGCAAAGTTCGAAACTATTATAGGTGTGGGTAAAGTTTTACCATACCAACACTTACGTAGGATATAGACTCTATTAGAAACATTTCAACTTCAATATGATGAATCATGACATGACACAAGAAACTATAAAAGCAAGATATATAATTTTCCACCATGTTAGGTGTATATCGATTACATTTTTCATGTTGTTGGAAAAGTTAGATGGCTGTGGAAGCTAAGCATAAATTTAGCATTTCGAAATTCGAAGTCGCAAAATTAGGGGAAAAAAGTCAAAAGTGGTTTGTTTTTAGTCGTTTCAGTTAGGCAGTAGTTAGCAAGGGTCCCAATAAATTCAACTATTGTTGAAAAATAACCCCTTATTTCAATCTTGTGGGCTCATCTATAACAATATTTGGATATTCTTTTCCTTGGTAAAGTTATTACTATACTTAAAGGAAACATACTTTCTAATAACTGATCGAGTACTAACCTTATAGTGTAGTTCTCACTCCGTTTCAAAAAAAATTGGCACTATTACTATTTGGAAACTTTACAAGGTTGTTCTTTGACCATAGTTTTCTTAAATATTATAAATATTTTAAATTATGAATTATTATGACTTATAATACTCTTTATGTAGTTTCTGAAAATAAAAATTTTATTCTCAAAAACTTGAAGAATCTATGTCCAAATTTACTGTCAAAGTTAAGTGAAGGACCATCTTACTCTGAACTATGCCAATATTTTTGAAACGGAGGGGTAGTAAACATAATAAGTGAGAGGAAACAAGTAATTTTGTACCCCATCAATTGCTCTGCTATGTTTATTTATTAATATCAATAAAAAGTTACATTACATGGGAAGTTGAAAAAGAAACAGACCAAACATGATTTAATTGCCTACAGTACCAAAGACTAATGATTTTTCCAATCAGTTTTCAGATACTCAACAAAGTTAGCAATGTAAGAATCATGCAACTTCCGATCTCCAAAAATAGCAGTAGCTTTTGTTGTTCTTTCCCTAAGCTCTTCACTTTCTGTAGAAATCATGGCGTATGTCAATGCGTTAGATATATCATTTCTAGTAAATGAACCATCTTCTTCATTTCTCTCCACTTCAACACCGAGTCCTTTTTCTACTAGCATTCTTGCATTTAGGCCTTGATCATACATTAATGGCTGAAGAACAAGAACATGACCATGTTGCAGACTTTCTGCAACAGAATCCCAGCCTCCATGATTTAGATTGTAGGCAAAGGATCTGAATTAATCATCCAACTACTCTTCTGTAGTATCCATATGAATGGTAGCCCAGAGAGCTCAAGCCCATATGCTATTTCATGCACTTGGTCTTTACTCGGTTCCATTTCGCTTCCAAACCCAACGAATAAAACTGACATGGGTTTCTGTTGATCGAGCCATTTGAACATTTCCTGCCATGATATTGATTGATCATCATCTTCGTAATTGAAGCTACAGTTTCTTGATGTTTCAGCGGGTGGTAATAATCCAACAGGAATAGCAGGCTTGTCTATGACTTTATGTACTGCATCCAAATACTCACCATCAAATTCTTGGCAACCTCGTATAGCCATGGCTTGACATGCAAATATTATATCAGCTCCACGTTGAGCATATGACACCCCTGAGGCGTCTTCTTCAAAACATGAAGACATAATCTCTAATGCTTCATACCTTCGGTAACACAAAGTCGACGATGGAATATGCAGCATCTCAGACGCTGGTGAGGTAAAACTTTCAAGCACTGACTTATCTGTAACTGATGCAGCAATTGAGAAACCTACTGCAGCAGCAGGAAAAATACTAAAGTAAATTAAAGGTATATCGTGAGTTTCAGCAAACTCAACTATCCAATATTGGGCGAAATCGACAATAATCCAATCTGTTTTTTTATCTGCAATGAACTTTTGGATTGGTTCTTGGAGAAGATCATAAGCTGCTTTCAAGTACTGGAGTTGTTCTAAATAACTAGGAAGATCAGAAGTAGCTTCAGCATCTTCAGGCAAAAGACTCTTGTCATCAAGAGTTGGCATTGGAAATTCCACTAGTTTTACAAGGTGTGTTAAGTTTGGAGGAACTTTAGGGAGTCTTTTGATATTTCTGGGAGTTGATATGAATGAGATATGAATTCCTCCTACTTTGGCTAAAGATAAGGAGAGATTGAAAAATGGAATAAGGTGACCAAATGCAGACCATGGTAGCATTACTACATGACCATCACTCTTAGACATATTTTTTTGCTAGATATTAGCTCTCTTAATTTCACTATTTGTGTGAATGAAAGAGGATACAACTCTTATATACATGTATAAATAGCATATTTTCCTTAGAAGTTTGGATGATATTGCGTTCAAGAGTGTGGGAATACCAAGAAATTAACCTAGTTCCCATGCATGAATAAAAAAGGTTGCGTTGCCTGCAGATTCAATCACTAGTTGTTTGGGATATTCAAACCAAGTAGTAGTAACAAAATATACAGGTGAAGGAACCAAGACTTGCCAATCCCACTCTCTTTTTTTCTTTCTTCTCCCGACTTTGACATAGGTCATTGGCATATAATGGCATATTGTTACATTGACTCGTTTAAATCGATAGTTTTTCATACATATAGAGGTTTAATTCAATATCAAATCTAAAGATACCTTCAACATGACACTTAATAATAGCACATCATGTTATGTATAGTTAAATAATATTTTATGTGATGTTTTATAGTTTCATACTAGTTGATATAGCATACACGCGTATCCTAAAACTAGTACACTTAAATGCTACAACTAACTTGTTTTCTCATCACATCAATCTAAAGTCTTGTTTTCAAGGGCACTTCATGAACCGTTTGTCAAGTGGAGGAGATTAAAAAAGAGGGATAGAGACGGTTTTTGTTCCCCCTTATTTGCTGGCAACTGGCAAGCCGGTTCATTCATCTATGTATCTGATTGCGGTTTTATATTTATAAGAAAATCTGATTGCGGTTTGAATCTCCCAAACAAAACTTTGATTAATTTAAAATCAACTGATTGAATGTGCAAGTAAGGCAATCTATTTTGCTACTAATACTGGCAAATAAGAACCATGGGAAGTTGCGTCGTTTCTTTGGTATTTCCTCACTATTTAATGCATGATCCAACTCCAAGCTTCTAAGGAAGATTGGCCAGCTAATATAACAGTTATCAGCCTCTTGGCTTTCACCTGGCTTCATACAAATAGTGTCATTGAGAGAGTATATGTACGAATTTAGCTAAAATAGAACGAAAATGAGAAAGGATGATGTTCATGTAGTAGTAGTGCTACCATGGTTTGTATTTGGTCACCTTATTCCATTTTTCAATCTCTCCATAGCCTTAGCTGAAGTCGGTGGAGATCATGTCTTATTCATATCTACTCCTAGAAATATCAAAACTTGAAGCCTGCAATTCCAGTTGGATTACTACCACAACTTGAAATTAAACATTACCACCATCAACAAAGAATATATTCAAGTGGCTGGATCAACAAAAGCCCGGGTCAGTTTATTCTTTGGGTTTGGAGCCGAGAGTAAACGTGGAAATGACATCAGGTAGCCACTCTAAAGCGCTACTATTTAGAAATTAGCCAGTGTGTCCTGAATTTCAGTTTTTCAGAAAAAAAAAATATCCTGAAATGCCTTCAAGTTTAAGATATTTAGTTCAAAATTTTAGGACAAAATAAGTACCGACTAATCTCTAAATAGCATCCTTGAGAATGACTATATGTGCACTTGCCCAGAATAAAGACCTAATAGATGAAATAGCTTGTGGGCTTGAACTCTCTAGGTTACCATTCATATGGATACTACAGAAGCCCGGTTGGATTTCAGATGAAGTGGATCCACTGCCTGCTAGATTTGGGCCGAGGACAGGGGAGAAAGGGGTGGGGCACATTGGATGGGCCCCACAGATGGAAATTCTGGCACATACTTGTATGGAATTTTTACATTCCTATGCCATATAAGAAACTATATTACCCTGAATGTTTAAGGTTTAATATAATTACATTTAGTATACCTAATTACCAATTATATACTATTAGTGGTTTTTAAGGGTATTAATTACACTCCTAATTTAATGGTATCGTATATTCCTTCTAATACCACTCGCCCCACGTTTCTCTCTCCAATTCCCACACCTTCACCCATGTTTCCCTCCACACCCACGATTTCTGTATCAAAATCCCATTATTTCTTCCATAGCCAAGACTTTGAATTCGAATTTAGGTTTTCAAAAGACATTGTTTGTTTGGATTGGATGTAATTGCAAAGAATTGAGAATTCTCTCTACGTCTCTATCTATCTCGCAATCCTAAATTTCAGTAATATAAGAGGAAAGAAAAAGAGAGCAGCAATTCCACCATTAATAGCCATTAAAAAACTTTTGGATTCTAATTTGGGTTTTCAAAAATCATTATTTGTTTGGATTAGGTGTTGTTGTAAATAATTGGGAATATGATTTGGAGTTTATATCTCAATTTTGAGGGGTTTTAGTGAAGATTAGACTTGGTTTTGGCTGAATTTCAGATTGAAACTCGAAGAAGAAGAAGACATGACATACATTATATTGCAGAAATTGTAGATAAATTGTAGACTGTTGTTTATTTATTTTTGAGCTTTGTGTTTTTGTGTTAAAAGTTTTGATGGTAGCTTGTTATTCTACTTCGTCTGTTTGGAGCTAACTTGTGCAGAGGAGAAGATGTTTTTTAAGTTATACATATTGTTATACCTTTAAATTCAAGAAAGTTGGTTATATTGTATTTAAAGAGGCGTGAATTTGTAGAATAGGCTGAATGTGAGGAATGAGTCAAATAAGACTCACAATGGCTTGTTTTCTACATTTAATATACAACAAAACTACATATCATTTGAAAAATTAATATGGAAATACAGAATTTCAATGTTTCTATAAATTATCTACAAAATTTTTTAGGAAGATCTATCCCTTCATCATGTTTTTTTGGATTCCATATTTAGCATAGCAGTTTCATACGGAGTAACAAGAGCATATAGGAGAATCACAGAATTGTAGCATAATCGGGATTTTTGACATAATTGTGTTTTTCGCAGAAGATTTGTAGAAGTTTTAATCGTTTTTGATTTGTGAAAACAGAAAACAAAATATCTACAATCAGAATACAAATAATCTACAATTTCTCTACAAAATATCTAGAAACTAGGTATATTGAATTTAGTATCCCAATTCCCATTCAATTGTAGCATAATTGGGATTTTCAACATAATTGCATTTTTTGCAGAAGATTTGTAGAAGTTTTAGTCGTTTTTGATTTGTGAAAACAAAAAACAAAGCATCTATAATCAGAATACAAATAATCTACAATTTATCTACAAAATATCTACAAACTGGGTACATTGAATTTTAATATCTCAATTCCCATTCAATTGTAGCGTTGAGATTTTTGACATAATTGCGTTTTTCAGAAGATTTGTAGAAATTTTAGTCGTTTTTATTTGTGAAAACAGAAAATAAAGCATCTACAATCAGAATATAAATAATCTACAATTTATCTACAAAATATCTACAAACTGGGTACAT